TGTGCGAGCAATACCGAATGGTGAAGAGAGCGGAGACTATTTAGTACTAGACCTTGGTGGAACTAACTTTCGCACTCTCCTCATACGTCTCAATGGAAGAGAGGCCGAAATGACCGGAAAAAGTGTAACAGGTGCTCCCCAAAGCACCAATGCCGTGGGGTACGTGCAGAGAGGTTGGTAGCAATTTTTCTCATAGCAAAAAAACTTATCGATATTTCCACATGAGCTCTCCCTCTGTCGAATATACGAGTCGAAAAAGTATGATATGTTCGGTTCTCATGTATACTTTTATAATAGTAGTCGAACAGATTGCTTCTCATATTTCTGTACTTCATACTTCATATTTCTGTACAGATTGCTTCTCATATTTCTGTACTTCATACATGGCTTATTCCGTAGTTCTCGTTGGGCTTACGCAGAAACGAGGCATATGCTTGCTATTTGCGAATCATTCATGATGCTCAACTAATAAAGCGAGTCATGAGTGATGAAAATCCAGCTACAAGGAAGTGAATGGTGCAGACACTCCACAACAGGCCACCGAAGTCAACTTTGATAATGACTTGACTTTGATAACTTTATAAATTTGGCAGGGAAGAGGGCCAAAAAAGACACTTTTCCCTCGACTTTCAAAGCAAAATAAGTTACAATTTATTGAAGGGAGTTAGGCACGATATTTTGGTACTCAGCCTAAAATGCTAGCAGGGCGCTATATAGTGGGAAAATGGCGAAAAAACGAAGTGAAACGGTCAAAACCTGCAAAAAGCCTTTGTTCTACACGACTCAGAAAGCAATTTCGGACGAGTTTCCCGTTGGCATCGTGCCAATAACCGCTACGGTAGATACGGCTGCACGTATGTACTCATATATCCATGCAGCACCGCAGCCGCTTCATATCAATCCCTTCGCTTCATATTGTACTTCGCAAATGAAGCGATACGAGCATCAGCATCGGTCGGACATTTGTGGGCGGACGGGTACGGTGGACGTCCGGTTCGGTGTGTTACAGCTTGATAGGGAATTATAAGGACACCCTTTTTGGGAGAGGCACTAACGCAGCGCCAGCTCGGGTCCGCGGAATTCCGTGCTTCCAGGCACAATCCTATTCGCCCCAGGGGTTTATCATGCGAACTGGACATTTCCACCATCAAACTCATCAACGCAGGTATACTCGAGATCCCTGAGATCGGGTAGGCGGGGCTGCATTCTTCAACTTAACCTGAAGGTGTCTATGCTTCTGGTGGAATATTTCCATCTTGACACAACTGTTGTCGTGTCTCTGTCCAACACAGAACAAGATGACAGTTGTCCCAGACTGGAATATTCCACGAGTAACCAGTTCCGTGCCATGTTCAAATGCCACGCCTACTCTGGCTCAGGGATAAGGAGTGTACACTATCACGATACTTCGCCACAGCCTTCTAGACGAACGCCATCGAGAGATTCTGCCACGCGACCGTGATTCGGTGCCTGAGTTCAGCGAGGTCGTTGATTTCTCCGTTACTGTAGACCTACCTGTTGAGCTCCTCCCGGACGGTAATCGCGGGGGGTTTTAGTCAGGCGACACACTTTTATATTCCGTCTTCTTCGGGTACTCAGCCCCCCCCCCCTTCTTCCATGTGCTGGCACCCAATCCTGTAGCAGTACAAGTTTCCAAGATGGTAGGGCGACGACATGAAGGCAGGATATTCTCCTCGAGCTGTTCGATGTAACAGTCAGCGTTCACTTTCAGTTCGGGGTCCACGAAGAAATATCGGTCTTCCCATTCCAGGAACTTCCGGTCCATACCATCAACCCGCGCCTTGGCGACTGCGGTGAAGATGATATCCTAGACCGTAGCGACGTTGTCGGAGCTGCTCGATGTTGGAGGTCATCCAGATCGAGAGTACTGGTCTCCAGGTAGCTATCCATGGGTGACTCCACACTAGAAGTTTCGCAGCTGTTTGGAGGTGACATGAATTCCAAAGGTCTTCTCCAGTCAGGCTGCGACTGGAGATGACTTCATATTTTGTACATGAAGGTGGGCGAGAGCCAGCTCCTGCTTATAGAGGAACATCTTGGGTATCTTCCGCCCTGGTACTCGTATCCACGTCCTCTGTCTGGGCTGCGAAAACTTTGCTGATATGTAACTCGGTCGAAGTGTCTTTTTTATTGCCCCCCCCCCCTGTATAAAGGTCGCGGTAGCTGTCAGGAAACTCAAATTCAGTGGCACGATTGCTCGAAGACTACCATCGTTGCCAGTGTCATTTGTGGTAAGGCTGAGAGGACGCCACACTTCAGTGAATCCTTCCACCAACGGCCTTGACGACAACCGCTCACTCCCAGCAACTGTTCGTAGATGGAACCATCATAACGCCGTTTACTCCATCAAGCAGAACGATGGATTTGAAATGAAATAGTGGTTCGCGGACTTTTGATGCATCTCTTCGGAGGAACCGGAGAGTTGAGCTAGCACAGCCACTGATGATAACAGAGCAGATAATGAAATTCTATCGCAGTTTGTCGAATGACTTGTGTTGTTCACCAGTTTGGGTGCTCATCATACCTACTGCTCAGGAACTGCATGTGAAGAGGTACAGGATGATTGTTGTGTCCCAAGAAAATCTAAAAGCCCTGTATGCATTTGATTACAGTCAAGGCAAGCGTCCAAGCTTGTGAGAAGCATGCCTGAATGCTATGGTCAGGGGACATTTCGAATGAAAATGAGATGAGAAACATTTTAGTCCACCTGAGTGTCAACATGAATTCCACTGACTTATCCTTTTCACTACTGCTTTTCTACCGTCACTTGCACAAATCACTCTGATGCTTCGCTATTTGACGAACACTTTAAACTGCTTATTGTTAATACTTGAGGTAGTCACTGGTCCTCAATGCGTACAGAGAACTTCAATTCTTTTTTCGTTAATTACAGCTCTTCGATCACATTGCCGAGTGCATGGCGCGTTTCATGGAAGAGCAAGGAATACCCTTCTCACGGAAGCTTCCACTCGGTTTCACATTCTCCTTCCCTTGTAAACAAGAAGGGCTTACAAGGTGAGCACGCTTTCTGGCACACTCACTACTTTTTCCTCGGTCATGCTACTAACCATAGCTGAATAGAAAAGA